GTGCCTTTTATGTGCTGATTGAAGTATATATATATATATATATGTTTAAAACTGACACTAGACACACACACACACACACACACACACACACACATACATATACGTATTGTTTTTCTTAGGAACTCATATAATCTGCAAACAGTGCCAGTTGAGAAGAGTAACTAGAGCTACACAGTAATTACAAACCTAAAATACATGGGTAAAAAGTGTTAGCAATGTCCTAAATTTGTGTTTTTGTCTTTTTCTCTGTTCAGTGACTGTGAAGTCTTTTCAAAAAATCATGCTGCTCCTTTCTCTAAAGTACTCACATTTTATAGAAAGGAACCTTTCACTCTTGAGGCCTATTATAGCGCTCCTCAGGATTTGCCCTATCCAGATCCTGCTATAGGTAAGTAAAGAATTGGGAATTAAAAAAAAAAAAAATTATGTGTGCTTGGGAGAACTGGAATAGCAAAGCAAGTAGAGTATGCTGAAATTTAGGTATTTTAGATCACACGCACAGAAAAATCACTTTCAGTCGTATTACCAGGTTTAGAACCAGCAGGATGGTCATTATTTAATTGGATCTCCTATTGTGGGCTGTAGTACTTGTTTTCTTTTTTTTTTAATTAAAATTTTTTTAGTTTAGTTTTTATTTTTATTGATTGATTGATTGATTGATTGATGCTCTGTGCGGCTTGCGGGAAGTTAGTTCCCCGACCAGGGATCGAACCCACGCCCTCGGCAGTGAAAGCGCAGAGTCCTAACCACTGGACTGCCAGGGAATTCCCTGGGCTGTAGTTCTTGGTTAATGCACATTATTGTTATACATTGTACATAATGTGGTGCTAGTTACTGAAAGGAGTTGAAGAGATTCAATTCTGACCCTAACATAGAGTTAGGTGTACACAGAAAATCATTAGGAAATTGTGATAATCAGTATCACAGGTTATGGAACCATGTTGGCTTGAGTCTTCATTGACTCTGAGAAACTTAGAATCTGGATTAACTAGAGTTAATATGATAATTACGGAACTAGAATACATGGGTAAAGTATTAGGAATATCTTGAATGGCACTTAGAAGCTTGGAAAGTTAACCTACTCTGTTTTCCTCATTTGTAAAATAGGACTAGGTGTGATAATTCATACTTTACAGAGTTTTATGAATTAAAAAACATAAGCAAAACCCTGGTATAGTAACTGAATCTAGAAATGGCAGTTTCTTGATAAGTGACAAGCAGTATGGAATCACTGGGGTTTTCAGTAGAGGAAAGTGGGACAAATCTATTCTAGGAATTTATCTGGCAGTAGCCTATAAAGATGAATTGGAGTAAGGCACTGGAGGGAAGGACATGTTTGAAGAGTAGGAGGTACTTGAGTCCTTAATTGAGACAAGATAAATAAGAGTTTGACTATTTGTGAGAGAGGAAGGAGAAATCTGATGATTTAGTAAGATTCTAAGAGTGCCCACTTTGCTTATTTGAAGTATCATGTTACTGACCTTTCACTGAGAAATGGACATAACCTGGCAGTATGGGCATGTATTTGTGTTTGAATTCATCCTCTTAGGTTATGTGTTCTCTTTTGTCTTTCTTATGTCCTTAGCTCAGTTTTCAGTTCAGAAAGTCACCCCTCAGTCTGATGGCTCCAGTTCAAAAGTGAAAGTCAAGGTGCGAGTAAATGTCCATGGCATTTTCAGTGTGTCCAGTGCATCTCTAGTGGAAGTGCACAAGTTTGAAGAAAATGAGGAACCGATGGAAACAGATCAGAATGCAAAGGAGGAAGAGGTAATCCAGACAGTCTTATACCATTTTAGGCCATTCATAATGGCTCAGAGGTGACACTTGTCTAGAAATTCTAGCAAATAGACTGGGTGACAGAGCTGCTGAGAGTAGGTTTGCATGCGTACCCCATCATATGTGAACTAGCACAGTCTTTATACAGAATTTGTATAGAAGTGGGACATAGTTGGCTTCCTCCTTCAGACCATGCACCTCTCAATTTGACTTATTCTTGGTTCTTTCTGATTACTGGGGAGTGCTGAGTCTCAGTTGATTATTTCCACAGGTAGCATAGAATTCACACTCATTTGTTGGAATAATGCACTGGGTCTTGTACTTACTGTGTATAAAAATCAAGGCTTTATAAAACTATAAATGTTTGGGGTCTCATCCCCACAGATTTTGTTTGACTTGGTTTGGGCTAGAGCCAGGTGTCAGTTTTAAAAGCCTCCGAGGTCATTATAATGTGCTGCAGGCATTGAAAGCCAGTGTGATTCAAGGTCTCTACAAACTTCTCCCTTCTTTGTCATTTCTGTCAGCCTTTGTTCTTTTAACACCTTTAACAGAATTTTCAAGGTGTCCACCTCCCCTAATGTACACAGTGGTTGTACTTTTGAGAATGGAAAGGCTGATTTAAAAACTGCTAGAAAAAGTTAGACTTTTGAGAGAAATGTATTCATGAGGAAGCTAGGAGAAACTCATGCTTTCTTCGGATTTTATTGTGTTAAATATTGCCACGCTGTGTGCTTATAAGTACTGCTATGGTTTTACAATGTAGTTCTATAGCCGCTCCTATTTATATAAGGACAAGGCAAGAGTTATTTCCATTGTACAGATGTAGTATCCGAGATCCAGAGAGGAAAACTTTCATGTTCTAAGTGTAACATATGTGTTATAGCTGGAATTTGAGTCTGGGTTGTCTGATTGTTGGTACTTAGTAGGAATTCCACATCATGTGATTTTGCCAATGTGTTATGAAGGTTGCTTAGTCTTTCACTAGTATTTCCTAGTTTCAGGATTTGATGTGACCTGTTTTTCAGAAGATGCAAGTGGATCAGGAGGAACCACATGTTGAAGAGCAACAGCAGCAGACACCAGCAGAAAATAAGGCAGAGTCTGAAGAAATGGAGGTATGAATTGTGTTTTAGAGTATGATTTGCCGTCTTTTTACATAATGGTTTTGGCTGACATGTCTTGGAAGGGAATTATATTAGAAATCTTCATTTATCTGAACAGTCTTTAAAGCAAGATTTTGTAGTATGGTTAGAAAGTATCTTTGGCAAAATGGTCTTTGAACTTTACTCTGGATGGTTTGTGGGAAGAAAGCACTCAGAAGCCCTAGTTTTACTAGGCTAGTGATTGGTTCATGCTGGTTTCTGAATGGCTGTTACTAATAGTCATCCTACCCATAATTTATTCTTTACTAATAAACAATGAAAGATGTTTCTTTCAAATTTTGTCAACTCTCTGAAACTTATCTTTTTGTTGAAATACACTGTTTTAAATAATAATGTTTTGAAATATATTTTGTAAATAATGTTAATATTTATCTCAAGTATTTAAATAAATATGTAGCATTTTTGGATCCTTTACAACCTGTTCTTTAACTTTTGAGTTTTCATGTTTAAATTTTGTCATCAGCATTGAAAACAGCTTTTCTTTCAAATTATTTGACATTGCAGTGTATAATTTCACCTTCTAAGGTATTTCTGATTGTGGCATTTAAAAAAGTTTGGCAGAGCCTTTAGGAGGCTTAAGTCTGGTACCCATTTTCATGTCAGTTAACAAATTTTATTCCTTTAGCTGTGCAAATAATTGTAAAAAAAAAAAAAGCAGAGGAAATCATCCTCATAGATGCTTTAGTGTACTGTAGGCCTTTTCCAAGGTGGAAGACCTGTTATTGTCTGGGTTGGGGGCAGCAGTGGGCAAGAGAAGTACATATTTTTCTGTGTTTGGGAAGGTCGGGGAGGAGAAAGGAGAGAGGTGGACCCGCCTGCCTTCCCCACCCCCCGCCAATTTGTGGATCAGCAAGAGCTTTCAAAGCATAAAAGCAATGAAAGTAATCACAAAGGAAAAGGTGAATAGATTCAACAGTAAAAGCTTGCATAGACAAATAATAGAAGATTAGAAAAAAGCTAGAAGAGTCAATCACTTGGGAAAAAATCACAAAGATCCCAAGAGGACGCTGGATGAAATATGACTAGGCTATTTGAAGAAATAAGTATGCCTTATAACTTTGTGAAAAAAGGTTATTGATGCAACGAAAATAATAGATCATGGTAAATGAATTCCTTTTTTTGGCCAGGGTACAGTGGAATGGATTCTGTTACTCCTTGTGAGAATGTAAATAGGTGCAGATACTCTGGAAGTCATATTAGTACTGGATTTCTGATCCTTAAAAATTTCATACCCTCTCCCCACTAATTTCCTATGCATGTTCATATGTTTAGATAAGAGTGGAAGAAAATTAGAGAATATTTAATAGTGATTATATGTTGATAGTGGGATTATGGCAGGTTGTTTTTGTGTGTATGTATGTAAATAAGTATGTGTGTGTACAGATCAGTAGTGTTAAGTATAATCACATTGTGCTACAGTCTTTTTCATTTTGCCAAACTAAAACTACCTGTTGCTTAACAGTTCCCCATTCCTCTATACCTCCTCCCCCTGTCCCCTGGCAACCACCATTACTTTCTATCTCTATGGATTTGACTATTTATAGTCAAAAATATTTATATTTTTAACTTTCCAGATATTGTAAGAACACAAACTAAGTTAATAAAAGAGCAGAACCAGCCTTTGAAACATGACTCATTTGGAAGTTTAAGAGTCTGTATAAGTATTCTTAATGATTTCTGTTATTTTAGACCTCTCAAGCTGGGTCAAAAGACAAAAAGATGGACCAGCCCCCTCAAGCCAAGAAGGCAAAAGTGAAGACCAGTACTGTGGACCTGCCAGTTGAGAATCAGCTGTTATGGCAGATAGACAGAGAGATGCTCAACTTGTACATTGAAAATGAGGTGGTTATTTTAAGTCTTTTAGAACAATAAGCTAAGAAGTTAACGTGACCGTAACGTTCAAACTCTGTGTCTAGTGACCTTCATGTATTTTAGGTTGTATGGGGTTTGAGAACAATTTTAGGTTTTGGGGTAGTGGAGGACAAGTTTAATAGATCCCAAGACATAACATCAAAATTCTTTTATGGTGATATTATGTATTTATTGCTAAAAACTCTGTTTTGAGATCTTTGACATTTAGGGGAGGTATCATTCGTGTTTGGGTGTGTGAGTTTGATTGTTCTCTAGCGATTGGGATGTTTGAGGCCAGGGTCAGGGAAGTTGATCAGCAGGAGAAATCACATTAGCCTTAATATTTTGTTTATTAGTTCCTTTCCCTGTTGCCAGTCAACATGTAACTCTAGTTATGGTGAGCGATGCAAGGTTTGGGACCCTGGAGCACAGTTATTCAATTAATTATTGTCTGTGAGGTTTCTCATCATATATACATTGAATCTTAGAATAGTTTTGTTTCATAGACCCTTTAGCATCTATACTATATGAATAATTTGATTTTCCTGGGTATGTAATATAAGCAGAGTATACTCACCTTGTGACATTGAGCTAATAGTTTCTTAAAGTTCTCTTGTCTTAAATTCTTTTCCTTATTTTGCTTTTGAGTTTCAACATCTTGATACTTCTTCTATTGCTCTTTTTTTCTAAGTACACCCACAGAACTCTCACTTGATCTTCATAATTTACTGAGGACTGATGCTTCCAGCTCTCTTTCCGTGGATGATTCGCAGAACTAAAACGATTTGAGGAAGAAGGCTTTTCTACTTTTATATTACTTAATAGTTAAGGGGAAATTGTCTCAGTTTTCTGAATGTCTAACTGTACTGTTCACAGGGTAAGATGATCATGCAGGATAAACTAGAGAAGGAGAGGAACGATGCTAAGAATGCAGTAGAAGAATACGTGTACGAAATGAGAGACAAGCTTAGTGGTGAATATGAGAAGTTTGTGAGTGAAGATGTAAGTATGTGCTGCAGTGTGCCTGCTTAGTGTGCATCTTCCGGCAGGATCCTTAAATGTAGTTAACAAGGGAAGTTTGTAGGTATACAGAAAAATGATTAAAAATGCACTTTTTTGGGGAAAAGTTTTATATCGTTTTATTTTCTATTGATGGAGTGTTTCCCAAAGGTTAGATGTTGTGCATCACTCTTTTTTTGGTGTGTCACTTTTTGATACATTTTTGCATGCTATTATTTACCTAGTATTTTTCTTTAAATCAGCTCACTTTTCCCTGATGTTTATTTTCACTCACTTCTTTAAAAAAATTCAGTATAATTGACATATAACTTTATATTAGTTTGAGGTGTACAGCATAATGATTCGATGTTTGTATACATTGTTAAATGATTACCACAATAAGTCTAGTTAAACATCCGTCACTACACGTACTTAAAAAATTTTTTTTCTTGTGATGAGAACTTTTAAGATTTATTCTCTTAGTAACTTTCATATATGCACTACAGTATTATTAACTGTGTAACTCAGTTTTAAATGTAGTTTTTAATTCTGAAATTTTCAAACATATCCATATGCCCCCTACAGCGGAGAAAATAGTGTAATAAACCCCCTTGTACCTATAAAGCAAAATAACATTTTGTCAGTCTTGTTTTCCATATCCCCATCTCTCCACTCCCCCATATTTTAAAGAAAATCCATATATATCATAGTTTGTGCCTGTTTCTTCATTTGTGAATCAACTGATTTTTGACTGACTAAATTGCAATGTTTCCTTCATCTTTAGGACCGTAACAATTTTACCTTAAAACTAGAAGATACTGAAAATTGGTTGTATGAGGATGGAGAAGACCAGCCAAAGCAAGTTTATGTTGATAAATTGGCTGAATTAAAAGTGAGTGACTCTTGAAAGCAGAAATGCTGTAGTTTCCATGGAGAGTATCTCAAAATTGAGAGTAATTCTCATGTTAAGTAATTGAAGGCAGATTGAAAGTGACTGAAGAGCTATACTTTTTATCACTTAGGTTCACTTTCTTTCAGAACTTTGTAATAGCAAAAGAATTTTTCTGAAAATTGAGTTTAGACCTAAACTGTTTCACTGAATTGGAGCTTGACTATGTTCTTGGTGTCAAGAGATTGAAAGACTAGCAGGATGCATCCCTGTCCTAAAGGTACTTGTAATGCAGTTGGAGCAGGGCTGCGTGTATACAGCTTTGATTCTCAATAGAGCAGAAGCGTCTGGTTTTGTATTTAAAGAAGCTGATAGTTACACCTTAGAGTTAAAAGTACAAAGAATTATTTAAAGTTGAGGGCTTTTTTTTTTTTTTTTTTTGGTGGTACGTGGGCCTCTCCCTGTTGCGGCCTCTCCCACTGCGGAGCACAGGCTCCGGACTCGCAGTCCCAGCGGCCATGGCCTACAGGCCCAGCCGCTCCGCGGCACGCGGGATCCTCCCGGACCGGAGCACGAACCTGCGCCCCCTGCATCGGCAGGCAGACCCCCAACCACTGCACCACCAGGGAAGCCCGAGGCCTTTTGTTTGGAAAAAGATGCAAATACACAAGAAGAACTTTTTGCATTTCTGTGGATTACTTAGTTTCTTGTCAAACTGGGCCATTGTGACTAACCTCTGGAATGGAGTTGCTGAAGGACAGTGCCTGCAGTTTCCTGTCATTCTGGCACGAATATAAAGAGTCTCCAGTGAGATCCTTGCCATTGAGGTTTTTGATTTACTTTTTATTATGGGAGATGTCCAACACGTGAAAGTAGACAGAATAATAGCTTCAACTGTTGTCAACTTATGTCTCGTTTTGTTTCATTCCTTCTCGTTTCCCCTCCCCATCCAAAAATATTTCAATGTGTATTTAAAAGAAAATGTAGCCTTAAGGTGTACCATTATCACATGCATAAAAATTCCTTAATGTCACCATTAATATCACCATATATTCAGTCTGTTTTCAGGTTCCAGTTGCTTCATAAATTATTTTTTAGTTTGTTTGACTCAGGATCCAAACAGGGTACATACATTCTGTTGATATGTCTCTTAAATCTGTGTCTGTACTTCTTCTATCATTTCTCCTCCCTTACTTAGTTGATGAAAAAACTAGATCATTCATGCTGGAGGATTTATTCCTGGTCTGGATTTTGCTCCTTTTCAACTCTGGTGTTTAATCTTATCTGGTAAATTGATGGTTACAGCTGGAGGCTTTGTCAGATACAGGTTTAAAAGAAAATTTATTTTTTATTTTTTCAAGTGTACTTCATATATGGTGAAGTACACCATATCCTGTTTGGAGGCACCGAATTTTTGGTTGTCTCCCTAATATATTTTGAGAACTCGGGTTCAAGTGACAAGTTGAAGTGGCTCCACTTGGAACAGTATAGAGGTATATTCTCATGTAGACTGAGGATATATTTCAATTGGCTGGGGAAAAATATTCAACTTCTTAATATATAGAACATGGAGATTAAATGTATTTTAATTCATAATCAATCTTAGTAGAAAGATACTACTCTTACAGTTTAAACTCCCCTGTGAAGAATTTGTATATTCTCTCTTCTGTTAAGAATCTAGGTCAGCCTATTAAGATACGATTTCAGGAATCTGAAGAAAGACCAAAATTATTTGACGAACTAGGGAAACAAATCCAACAGTATATGAAAGTAATCAGCTCTTTCAAAAACAAGGTATCTTTTTTTTTCTTCTCCTCTTCCCTACTATTGTTTCGGTAGAGTTAAGTTTTGAGACATTTACGTAGCAGTTTTTTGTCTTCTTTTTAACTGTTGTTTAATGATAGTATTTTCTTTTTGGATGTTAATGTAATGTATAATATTTTATATAATCTTACTAAGAACCCTGGGATTTGCTGCTTCTCTTTAATAAGGGGACTATGCAATTGAGCAATATTATTCAGCTTCCTTTTCTTGTTTTGAAATGTTTGATCATTGACTTAATTTGCTATATTTTGGTGTTAGAACACATTAGGCAAATAATTTGGTTATGCAGATGTAGGACTGTCAACAATAAACTACTTTCATTATTTTTGAGCACTATATGATATATACTCCATAAATATATTATCTGATTAAATTTGCACAGTACCCTTATGAAGTAGGTGGTAGTATCAACATTTATAGATAATTTCTAACATCTTTAATCCTCACCCAAGGTTACTATTGGGGGAGCTGGGATTTGGCCTGAGGTTTGATTCCAAAGTTTGGATGGCTCCCAAACTTTGGTAAATAGTTTGGTTAAGTCCACTATTACACTCCAGGTTCTTGATGTATTGTCAGTGTAAGAAACTTTAAGACAGATAATAGAGCTTTCTAAAAAAATTACTTTTAATTAAAAAATTGTGCTTCTTTCGAAAGGACTCTTTTTTTTTTTGCGGTATGTGGGCCTCTCACTGCTATGGCCTCTCCTGTTGTGGAGCACAGGCTATGGACGCGCAGGCTCAGCGGCCATGGCTCACGGGCCCAGCCGCTACGTGGGATCCTCCGGGACCGGGGCACGAACCCGTGTCCCCTGCATTGGCAGGCGGACTTTCAACCACTCCTCCACCAGGGAAGCCCTGAAAGGCCTCTTGTAAAAAACTGTACTCATTATTATTTTGCTTCGTAACAAGGATGCCTAAATCTCAGGTCTCGTACCTAATGACATGTAATTTTTTTTTTGCATTGTATAAGATTTTGTGTAAAGCATGTGCTGCTATGTATACTGCTGAAGCATTTTAATTACCACCTTGTGTAATTTTGGCCTTTAAATGTATTTCCTCTGTGTTTTAAAAATTGGGGTTACTTTTCTGAATTCTTTGGGAATTGAATGTCTATGTAGTTTGTGAGGCTAGATGGGCTTCATTTTGGGAAAGATTGTAACTTTTTGAAAGATGGTGAAGAACTAGGCAATGTTTGAGTAGGGACAGTATCATCCTTTGACACTTGTCTGGTTGGCTACTGGTTGCAGGAGGACCAGTATGACCATTTGGATGCTGCTGACATGGTGAAGGTAGAAAAAAGCACAAATGAGGCCATGGAGTGGATGAATAACAAGCTGAATCTGCAGAACAAGCAGAGTCTGACCATGGATCCAGTTGTCAAGGCAAAAGAGATTGAAGCTAAAATTAAAGTAATGTATGATTTTCAAGATTTAATAGTCTTTTCTAGTCAGTCTCATTATTTATTATTAATAGGAGAGAATTTCATTATTGCATCTTTGCTTCTGCCTTGGGGATAGGGTAGGAGAGGGTGGACTTGGATTTTAGTATGCCATGTAAAATTTGTTACAAGAAACCACAGTTTTCTCTCCTATTGTTCTAGGAGCTGACGACTATCTGTAGCCCTATAATTTCAAAGCCGAAACCCAAAGTGGAACCTCCGAAAGAGGAGCAAAAAAATGCAGAGCAGAATGGACCAGTGGATGGACAAGGAGACAGCCCAGGCCCTCAGGCTGCTGAGCAGGGTACAGACACAGCTCTGCCTTCGGATTCAGACAAGAAGCTTCCTGAAATGGACATTGATTGATTCCAACAATTGTTTATATTAAAACAGACTATTATAAAGCTTTAAGTTGTCAACTTTGTTCTAAATATCAACTAGAGCAATTAAATACTGGAGATTTCTTAGTTTTTAGGGGATTTGGGTGGCGGGAGATATAGGTAATGTATGGAGCATTTTGACTTCGAAATAGTTAGATACAGAAATGAAGTGCATTGTATCTTTTTCATAATGGTACTATTTAGAAGCCCAGTTAGTCTTACTGAGCTTATGCTTCACTCCTTTTATGTTTAACCATGCTTATACAAAGAGAAGTTTGTTTTAGAAAGTTGAGCTATAGCACAAGCTATACCTAGCTATCAAGCAGACTTTTTGTTATGACATATATGGCAGGAACTCTAATTGTGCTTCACAAATCTGCTGTGGAGATTGCCACAAAGGCTCCCCGCTTGGTGTGGGGATGGAGGAGGGGTCTCCCTCTGTTTCTGAGAACTAGAGAGCATGGCATGGATTGACAGAGAACAACTAAAAGGTATGCTCTGAGCTTCATCACGTGTCAGTCAGCTCCGCTGGGACTCCCACCCTGTCTTCCTATCTTCCCATCTTCCCCCAGTTAAAGGAGCTCCTATTACAAATGCCATGTGTTGCTCCTGGGGAAATAGATCCTTTCACCTGGAGCAAGTTGTTAACTGAGGATTTTAGACCTGCAGGCTCTTCCTAAGAATGTATGTTCCTGAAAGTATGTCCACTAATATCCCAAGTATCAAAGTCTAAATAATTTTCTCTTTGGAAGGTTAGAATTGGGTAGATGTACTGTTGGATATAGGCCTGGTAAATTTAACTGAGGGACTGATTCTTGTTAATTATGGTGTGAAGATTTGTATCCTGGCCTGCTTATTCAGGTGAGATGTTCTGTGTAAATTTGAGGTATAGCTTGAAGTCTTACGACAAGAGTTAAAAGTTCTTTTTTGCTCATTCACAATCACTTATGTGTTGTGTTAATATCTGTCATGAATCTGCCAATTTATATGTGTTAAACAGCGGACAGATCATACAGAAAACTAAGATGCACTGGATTGTACTGGATGAGTCTGAAATAAGTGTTAAAGAAGTGTGGTGCTGACTTTAGCAACACCTCATTCTTGCTGTGCAGCCAGTGTCAGGAGCACCAAAGCATTCCCTGTGACTGCCCTTTGGGCAGTGTTGATAAGAGTGAGGCATTTTGGAAACTAAGGGAAACCTGTAGTATTAGAGGCCAGAGCTGGTACCTGCCCTAGAAACTGTTAAATCTTTGTTGGTTACTTTTTGGACCTTTGTAATTGTTAATCTGTATAACAGAGAGCGCTCTGTTAATTTTGGCCTGTGTTGTTAGAAATTAATACCTTGCATATCTAGAATACGTTTCTGTCCATCTCTGCACTAAAATATTTAGAGTGTTACAAGCTCTGAAGTGCTATAGAGAAACATCACTTAGAGGAGGAAGGTGGAAGTGTATTTATGTTGGGGTGTAAGCATGTGTGGAAGCCTCGCAGCACCAGGACTTTGGCCCTGTTCTTAGAGCCTCCTCTATCCATTCTCTACCTGTCCTGCTTCAAGAGTTTCAGCTGGCTTGCTGTGAGGCCAAGAGCTACTTAGGAGTGCTGGCTGCAGGATTAAGCCAATTCTTAGGCAACTGACTCAGTTCCTAATGGCCATTTCTTCTAAAAATTTTCTTTTGTGTGTGGGGGAGGGTGTGGGTCTTGGGATGGGGGTGAGGTTGAGGTTTAAAGTTTAAACTAGAAATAAGATGATGTGGTCTGCTTGCTCTCTGTTTAGATAGGCTTTAAGACCAATTGGATTTACATGGAGGCCAGGCCAGAGAATGGTAATCAGTGACTTGTGTGCAGACAAGCATTTATCCAGGTTGCATTGTCCCAATTGGTTTGTTAAAGCTCCAGGTTATGTTCTTACACAAAGAAAAACATTCAGTAAACATGAGACAAGTTTTAGGAAAACTTAATAAAAAGAAACCTGTCTTACACTCAAAGGAATGGTTTTCTTAATTTCATAATGAAGGGTGTGTATGTGTGTGTTTGTATGTTTTTGTGTTTTAAATAAAAACTCTTTAGAGGTAAGAGTCCTCTAAGCTAAATTCCAAGTACTTAACATTTGTCAGAGGCCTCCATTGTGAAGAACATTTGAGGCTTAGCACACTGGGTGGTAAGAAGTAGCTCTTTCCATACTTACTCTCCCATGCTGAGTCTTGGCCCAGTTCTCTGACTTAGAAATCCTTACCTTGCTCCTGTGACTGGGCCTTTGAGGGTTTTGATACTAGCAGGAGGTGGGTTACGGCCCTATAAAGGCCAGTGCCAGGACTGATGACTGCCCCTTCAAAGAACAGGACATGGCCCAGAATGTGCTAGTAACAGTTGTTACCAGTGACAGTTCCAACAGAGTGTGCATGTATGTGTGTCTTGGTGAGTATGTGGGGTGGTGTTGCGTGTTGAAAGGGGGTGAAGCCACCAGAAGTGACACTAACTATACAAAGCATAGGGCCTAGATGGGGAGGGGTCTGGGGCCTTCCTCCCTGTAGTCCTGCTACTTAATAGTCCCAGTGCCAGGCCTACCAACAGGGCCTGTGCCCGCCACCTTCAGGAAGTGTCTGGAGTAAAGTCTGTTTTTTTCCTGGGCCTCTGTCTTAGGGAGAAGAGTGGACACCTGGTAATATGAGTGGGAAGCCAGCTAGCTAGTGATTGGATCCAGAGTGCAGCCATTTTATAGGGCTGTTGGAATCACCTGGAAAGAGTAGCATACCTGTTTACCCCGGACAGATACCAGCATCCCCAGTGTCACTGGGGAAGAGGGTGTTGGAGGCAAGCCAGGGCTGATGGGACGGTTTTGCAGCTTCAGCTTAATGTGAAGAACTTCTGTGGCTCCCATTGGGTTGATGAGAATTCACACAGAGGCTTCAGACCAGTGGCCTTTGAGATGCCTATCAAACATCTTGAGGGGTTTTTGTTGGGCCGCTGTCAGAGGTGGTAGGGCTGAGAGACTGGAGTCCTGGTGTGGAGCACTGGGGCTTTTAGCCTGACCTGAGAGTGACAATGTTTTAGGGATGCTCATGTGATATGTGCAGAGTGAGTAGGGCCTGGGGGAAGTTGGACGTAGTGGAACTTTTAAAATAATCCACGTTTTAGGGGGATGAGCCAAATGAAGGGGGAAGTGGTAGGTCTTGGTACAGGAGGAAGGGGGAAGATGGAACAGTGGCTTTAAAACAAAACCATGCTGTTAGAAGCAGAGGAAGGTAGTTAACCTTTATGGGTTAATGACAAGGCAACTCAGGCTAGGCTTCAGGGGCCTACTGACATTTTATATTGAGCTGGCTTTTGGTAGTACACTTTGTGTACTTGATTGATTTCAATCATTTTTCTTTAGGTAGCTTTAACATCATTTCTTATGTAAAATTATAATACAGGTTGTAAATACGCACAGCTTCCCATGTTTGGAAAGAACATGGAAGGTGTTTGCATAAATATCAAAATTGGATAGGTGTTTCAAAATGAAATGGTTTTCTCCCAGTGTGGGATTGTGAGTGATTTGTTTGTAAGTTTTTGCTTGTTTGTATTTTCTAAGATTTCTGTAATAAGCATTTTGGAATTTTATAATGTTAAATTAAAAATATATTTCAAAAAGAATGGCTCCAAGGTTTCAAACCTGGAATAAAAGACATAATAGACATGTGGAGTTTCCGGTGTGCAGGATTCAGTGCAGATGTTTGTGAGAGTCTGAATAAGATTAGGAAATTGTACAGACATGGAATCGAGAGATCCTGAAGCTACAGTTGGATGTGGAAGGAAGCTTTGGGCGTCAGGGTGTGTTCTTCCTGCTTTAGAGAGTAAAGGATGGTGTTTGGCTGTGTCAGGAAGAGGAAGTAGAAGCTTTGAAGGAAACAAGCAGCTGCCAGAGGGGGATGATCATCCATGAGGCATGTTAGGGAGGAGGGAGATTGAGAAGTGAGCGGTGACAGTGGCCAGTGGGGTTGGAGGCTGAGAGGATGCTTTAGAAGTGGAGTAGCTGGGCTTTGTGGGCATGCAGTGAGGCCTCAGGTGGAGGAGAATATCTGGTCAGGAAGCTTGGCCTATAGCTGGAATGAGGGATCTACTTGGGGAGGAAGGAGGTGGGCAGCATCCTAGGCCCACTGCCTTGTGTGCAGAAGGGGATAGTTTCCTCCAGTTACCCAGAGACCATGGCATTCCTTTCCTGGGTGGTGCTCCCTTGCCTCTGGCTGGAGCAGCCCTGGGATATGACTCTCAATGCCCTGGTCCTCTGAGCTGGATTACTGCAATTTGGAGCAGGTGCCGTAACTAGAAATCAAGGAGGTGACCTCTTAAGCAGCAGGGTAGGAGGCAAAATGGAAAAACTGCCATGTTGTTGGAATAGGAGCAACATTTCTAGGATGGTAACGGAGGGAATACATTTCTGGGGGATCAGGGAAGGGAAGATATCAGAGGGTGTGAAAATACAGACTGGTTTCTAGATCGGTCCAATAACCATGAGCAAGTGCCACGCTAATCCTAACCTTGTCACTCCAGTTTTGACACATGCTGTAAGGGCAGGGAGGGAGAAAAGGGGAAATACTTCTAACCTGGGATTTGCCACGTTCAAGGACAACAAGCAGAAAAAAAAAGTGGAGCTATGTTTGGGGCCATTTCCATTAGTTGTGTCTGTGTGTACATCCTTCAAAGGCCAGGTAGACTGGTAAGATTTGGAGTCCTGGATCAATGGAGGGAGAGAGAGCACTTAAAATTCTTATCACCAGTAAGCAGGCCCTTACCCACTGCATACATTGTTTCTTCTACCTACACATTATCTATTTATTTTAATTAATTAATTTAGTTTTGGCTGTGTTGGGTCTTCGTTGCTGTGCGTGGGCTTTCTCTAGTTGCGACGAGCGGGGGCTACTCTTCGTTGTGGCGCATGGGCTTCTTGTTGCGGTGGCCTCTCTTGTTGCGGAGCACGGGCGCCTGGGCTCTAGGCGCACGGGCTTCAGTAGCTGTGGCTTGAGGGCTCTAAGCGCAGGCTCAGTAGTTGTGGCTCACGGGTTTAGTCGCTCCACGGCATGTGGGATCTTCCTGGCCCAGGGATCGAACCTGTGTTCCCTGCATTAGCAGACGGATTCTTAACCACTGCACCACCAGGGAAGCTCCCTCTACATGCACTTTAAAATTCAAAATAGACTGGTCTACTATTTGGTCAAGACTTGGCTAAATGCTTGGGGGAGAGAAAGCTGGAAACACATGGAAAACCGCCTCAATGCCTCAGCTTCCAAAATGTAAATCCCAGCAGAGCATTTCTGAGGATGAGCTGGATCAGTAGATGTTCCAGAAAAGGATGACCCAAATGATAGGGTACCTTTCAGCAATGCCAGTAGGCAGTCTTCTAGAGCTCATGTGAGACTGCCATGAAGACCAGGAGGGTTGTGTGTAATAGAACTCAGAAAATTGAGAGGGCTCATGCAGTCATAAACAAAGCCCCAGGCTGGGTGAGGGGCCTTTCCTCTGTGACGGGTCCTGTCCATGTTTATTCTATATCCTTCAACCGAAGGATGGATTCTGCCTAGTTCACAACTGCCCCCTGCAGCCAGCATGAAGCACGGGATACTTGAATACACACGTGCAGTATTTTCAGTGAATAAAAAACTCAGAACAT